CACCAAGGAGTGAGGAGATAAAAGGTCAGCCAATGTGCTTAGTTGGTCTGGCGCGTTTGCATGCGAACAGCTGAGAACTACGGATGCCGGAAGCGTATCTAACTACAAAAACGTTTCCTGTGAATTTATACACACCCCTGTATAGTTGGATAACAGCAGCTTTTTATGTATTTCTGGCGTTAACCAAAGAGGCCGTTTAGAGCTTTTGCACAGAACACCCACTATCTGATTAATCAGTGGTAAATTGCAGCTGATTACCAGTTTCTTCTTCTTCGGATGCCTCTGTAACATCACTGCGCCTCGGTTCAGAAATAATGAGAGTGGTGCTCTCTTCCTTTTCTTGTTGCATTTTGTTCTTGTTGCAAATGATTGCCCGGCTTTGACTAAATTCAGATATATCTCTAATAGCAGTTTGAAGAATAAGTCTGTTAACTTATGAGCACTTTACAAAAATCTGTTTTAAACATAGCCAAAATTACTACAATATTGGACCACCTAAATTATTCTATAGTATTATTGGTAAACTTGGCGATAGGTTGCAACCACGTTGTGGAGAGAGAGTGCTATATGAAAGTAGTACGACTCTTCCAACTAATGAGCGTTGGCTTGCGATTCCTGGGAAGAATAGAATAAGGGGACATCGTGGACTAAGGTTGATCTTGTATCTTTTGCTCTTTGTATACTTTAATTTTCCTAGCGGTGTGTTAAAAGGAAGCCCGTTCTCAGCATACCTATTCCACTTCGCTATTGATAAAATCATGGAAATCGCGTTCACAGTTCACGACTTAGAAGGTGTGGATCTGGTCTCAGGAGAACGATTTCATGACTTGGAATATGCTGATGAGATTACACTAATCTGTGACAGCTCACAAACGTGCCAAGCGACACTGGAGAGCTTAGCAATGGCACTCCGTCACTTGAAGCTTTGCTTTGCACCCTCGAAGTGCAAAGCGTTCTTCCTAGATTGTCCTTGTCCGCCTCCTTCACGGACCATTAGTGGGGATCATACACACACTAAACACGTTAGCTAAAGGTGGAAACTCTTCAGCTACTGTGACACAAAAACTAAAAGAAAAAAGAGATTATAAAATGCAAGAGGTGCTAGCTAGCTGAGCTACCGGTAACAGAAGGGCCTGGTTCGGGTAAGCTACCTGCTGACTACTATGCAGCAGGAAAAAATTAATGTACCGTAAAAAATTATAAAATGTTAAATAATGAGATCGTGGTTATAGAGAAGGTTAACTTGGATGGGGTGGGACAAAAACTCACAACAGAAACGTCACGGAAGCCGGCTCATAGCCAAATAAGCAAGTGTATCAAGCCAAACGTGTCATCGTCTTTCGGAGCCCAACCAAGGAGCCAAGACGCTCCAACTGAGGACAGCTTCGAAGTGAGTGCCTTCATTCCTCTCGACCAATTCGTCGCTTGGCCACTCCTTTTCTTCTTCCATTTAAAACGTCTAAGCGCAAACAACACATCTCGCGGGAGTCCGTATGCTGACATATGTAACACGTGGCAGTGCCATCGAAGCCTGGCGCGTGAAATAAGTGTGCTGAGCGGTTGAGTTTCTTTTTCTGTGCCATAAACAAGGCGTTAAACACGCCCGTTGCTCACGCGGTGTTCCCACCCGATGTGAGCTAAATTGCGAAGGCACTGGTGGTCGAACGTAACTAGCTTCTTTATATTCGCTGATCTAATGTACAAGGTTTCACAACCGTAGAGTAGGGTCAAACGTACTGCTGCACTGTACACTCTGCCCTTCAGAGTAAGAGTGATTTCGCGCCTGCATATATGTGCCGAAGGTCAGCAAAGCGCCTCGAGCTTTTGCCATACGGTTTATGATCTCCTCTTCACTCCCACGGGCGTTGACACGACTTCCCAGTTAGTTGCATTTTTGAACGATTTCTAGCTGATCTCCAACATCGCAATGAGGCTGGACCTTATCGTTGTGCGATTGATCGTGTCTCAGTGATCCATTGAGCTAGTCTGGATGGTGCATTCTTTTGCACGTTCAGAGTCACCCATACCAGAATGGTCAATGGTTAGAGGCTAGACAAACTCAGCCTCCTGGCATTCCAGATAGAGGCTTGGAATGAGGTGGCTCCTTATTCCTTAAAACGGACTCCATGTAGCCCAGCGCCTAACCCGCTGCCTTGCGGTCAGGTTTTGAATCAAAAGATTTGTTTGAGTACCCTAATTGTTCTTCTGTTTAGACCTGGGCAACCTGACAGTATCCTGCCCACGCAATACCATGAATATTATCTCAAACAAATTGCTGATGCTCTGGTCACCGCAGAGGATAATCAACGGTGCCCTATCTGCTGCGTCGAACAGGGTGGATAGGGGTTTGCATGCTACTGTTCAAGCCTTCCTGTCTTTTTATTCGCCTCTTACGCCTTTTCCCTCTTACCACCCCTTTTTAGCTTCACTTTCATCCACCTGTTGTTAACCCCCAATTCTTGGCACACTCCCACCTTGCTTCAATAGACGCCAGAGCATCAGCAATTTGTTTGAGATAATATTCATGGTATTGCGTGGGCAGGATACTGTCAGGTTGCCCAGGTCTAAACAGAAGAACAATTAGGGTACTCAAACAAATCTTTTGATTCAAAACCTGACCGCAAGGCAGCGGGTTAGGCGCTGGGCTACATGGAGTCCGTTTTAAGGAATAAGGAGCCACCTCATTCCAAGCCTCTATCTGGAATGCCAGGAGGCTGAGTTTGTCTAGCCTCTAACCATTGACCATTCTGGTATGGGTGACTCTGAACGTGCAAAAGAATGCACCATCCAGACTAGCTCAATGGATCACTGAGACACGAACAATCGCACAACGATAAGGTCCAGCCTCACTGCGATGTTGGAGATCAGCTAGAAATCGTTCAAAAATGCAACTAACTGGGAAGTCGTGTCAACGCCCGTGGGAGTGAAGAGGAGATCATAAACCGTATGGCAAAAGCTCGAGGCGCTTTGCTGACCTTCGGCACATATATGCAGGCGCGAAATCACTCTTACTCTGAAGGGCAGAGTGTACAGTGCAGCAGTACGTTTGACCCTACTCTACGGTTGTGAAACCTTGTACATTAGATCAGCGAATATAAAGAAGCTAGTTACGTTCGACCACCAGTGCCTTCGCAATTTAGCTCACATCGGGTGGGAACACCGCGTGAGCAACGGGCGTGTTTAACGCCTTGTTTATGGCACAGAAAAAGAAACTCAACCGCTCAGCACACTTATTTCACGCGCCAGGCTTCGATGGCACTGCCACGTGTTACATATGTCAGCATACGGACTCCCGCGAGATGTGTTGTTTGCGCTTAGACGTTTTAAATGGAAGAAGAAAAGGAGTGGCCAAGCGACGAATTGGTCGAGAGGAATGAAGGCACTCACTTCGAAGCTGTCCTCAGTTGGAGCGTCTTGGCTCCTTGGTTGGGCTCCGAAAGACGTTGGACATGTTTGGCTGGGATCACTTGCTGGTATGAGTAAGAGCCTACATCAGGGTCCATGACACGGCGGCCGGTTCGAAATATATCGCATCGCTCCCAGGCCAATTTGTTCAGGTTTTCTTTATCATATGTCGTAAGCTTTGTCTTCAGTTTTTTAATTCTTTATTATGTATGTTTCTGAATTATCCAGTAAGATTATTAAAATTTTTGCTGCACTCTTTCTGTCTTTTTATTCAGTCTTGATTCCCGTTCTTGCTGATCGTATTTTGCTCATGTCCTCCTCAGTCCGGTTTACCTTTCTTTCCATTGTTAGAATGGTTTTGTGTTACAAATATTGGTATTATCCTTTCACTTTAATTAGTTCGATTTAGTTCAGCATAACTACCTGTACTAGTTTCTTATAATTTCTGCGATTCTGCATTAGGCTGATTTTCTCTTATCCATTCTTGCCTAATTTTGAAATAGGAAAGCCGACACCTTGTGATATTTGCTCAAAAGGCGTTGGACATCGCGCAAACACGATTACATACAATTTATGAATCGTAGTGTTTCATATTTTGTGCATTTGTCTGTCCGTGAACAAATTCCGCTTAATTCAAGTGATTCAGCACCGATTTTTGAAGACCATTTGTAAGAAATTTCAATCCAAATTTGGGCCGAAAAGCATGACAAGCGGATCAGTAGAGCAAAGTGCGCTAAAATGCGCAGCTAGGTTTGTCCTACACCACAATCAGAGAAACAGCCAGTGCTTAGTATGACAGCGAATCTATCCGTGGAGCAAAGTGCTGGTGTTCTGGCAGGCTCGCCTTCAAGGCCTAGGTTCTCTTCAATTGAAACTAAAGCTCTAATTTGCCATAATCAAATTGGTGATAACGAATGGAAAATGCAACAAACCAATGAAAACCAGAACAATGTCAAGCAACCTGAGGCGCCGCAACCTCGACTTGGATGAGCGCGGGCTCATAGTGAATCAGGTTGCTTGTCTAGGAAGGAGAATCGAGGGCAAATGTCGACCTATGTTGGTGACTTTTGTCGAAGAGGCAGGTCCTAAGTTAATACTGTCCCGCCTTAATAGGCTGAAAGATCTACAGATTCACTTGCGCACTGACTTAGACTCTGTAGGGAAAGAGAAACTCAAGTCTAAGATGGTTGAACTAAAGCGACGCACGGAAGATGGGAAAACCAAATCTCCGTATTGTAACTTTACTGGTAGTTACCCGGATTCCTCCGTGAATGTGTATCAACCGGTTTCTGGTGCTTCAGCCGCGCTCAGCAGTTCGTACCTCGGCCTGTGCGTAGCTTTTACTAATGTTTGCAGTCTGATGAAAAAACGCGATGAGCTTTACTAATTTGTAACTTATTATCGATCTGTTAATGGGACGGAACCAGCCAATGAGAGCGTTTTACGCTGAGGGCTATTGATTTGGCCATAAATTGAATGTACCGTTAGTTGGACGTTTAGAAAATATACTTGCCAGCCGTACGCCGGTCTCCTGCTTTGGGAAGTCGGGCTGATCAGAGTGCACGCTAGCAGCAGGTCATCGGTAGGTCAGCCGAAACCATAACATATATTTTTGGCGACGGAAGGTAGTGGATCAAGATGTCAATTTCAGCGGAAGACCTGAAAATCATTTTGTTGCAGCAACAGCAGCAATTTGAAACAGCACAGCTGCGTATGATTGAAACCCTCACCCAAATGTTATCTGTGCAGCCTACGGTCGTTCAGAACAATGGGAAGCCTTCGGCGGATGCGATGATCAGTAGTGTTAATGAGTTCATATTCAATCCAGACTCAGGATTAATATTCGATGCGTGGTTCAGGCGCTATGAAGATATTTTCAGGGCAGAGTTGTCAGGTCTCGATGATGCAACTAAAGTTCGCCTTTTGTTACGAAAACTCGGAACGGTTGAACATGACAGATACATTAACTACATTTTGCCAAACAACGCGCATGATTTCAGCTTTGATGATACAGTTGCTCGACTCACAGCGTTGTTTGGAGACCAGTCGTCTCTTTTCAATAACCGATACAATTGTCTAAAGCTATGCAAAAAGGACAATGACAGTCTTCTTGCTCACGCGGCGATAGTCAAACGTGAATGCCAGAAATTCAAACTGAAGTCCCTCACGGAAGACCAGTTCGAGTGTTTGATACTAGTATGCAGTCTACAGTCCCCAAAAGACGCCGAGATACGAACGAGAATACTTGGTATGTTGGAACGCGACACAGATGTTACATTACAAAACGCCATTGCTGAAGCCCAAAGAATCATGAATTTAAAGCACGATACGGCTATGGTGGAAGATTCGAGAGCACATTCCGCAGATATATCTGTCCAGCAAATTTCAGGAAACAACCCACCGACCGCTCAACCTAGCAGATATCCACAATCCAAACCCCCATCACCTTGCTGGCAATGCGGAGGATGGCATTTTGTGAGATGGTGTCCTTTCAGCAAACATGTTTGTCAAAGGTGCTTTAGACGGGGGCACAAGGAGACCCACTGCAGATTCAAAACATCATTTAGATCGTCATGTGATACTCGAAAAGCAGGTTACCGAAGGTTCGCGACAAGAGTAAACGCTAACTATACGGACGATGTTAAAGATAGAAGAAAGTTCGTCACTATTACCATCAACGGAAGAGTAGCGCGTCTGCAGATTGATACGGCTTCCGATATTACAGTCATTACGGAAAACTTATGGAAAGCTATCGGTTCACCTGACATTAAACCAACTAACCATAAAGCGAAGAGCGCATCAGGTACGAGTCTAAACTTGATCGGTCAGATTGAATGTGAGTGTCGCTTTGCCAACTTCACCGCTTGGGGAACTATTTTCGTCACAACACACAAGAATTTGAACCTCCTTGGATTAGACTGGATTGAGCAATTCAACCTCTTAGATGTTCCCATTAATCAAATCTGTGCAAGTGTACACTTACACAAACCAAAAGTCCCCAAGGCAATGGCAATCGAACAAATTCGAGAGAAATATGCACCTGTTTTCCGTGAAGGACTTGGTAAGTGTACAAAGTTGCAAGCCTCATTGTCCTTAAAACCCGATGCTGTTCCTGTTTTCCGTGCAAAGCGGCCAGTACCTTACGCAGCAGTCCCAATTGTTGACCAGGAACTTGATCGTTTGGAGAAACTTGGGGTTATCTATGCAGTGAACTACTCTTCTTGGGCGGCTCCAATTGTGGTTGTCAAGAAGCCGAACGGCCAGATCCGAATATGTGCCGACTTTTCTACTGGGCTGAATGAAGCGTTAAACACGCATCAGTATCCTCTGCCAGTCCCAGATGATTTGTTCTCGAAACTAAATGGGGGTCAGTGTTTTGCCAAGCTAGATCTATCGGATGCGTACTTACAAATAGAAGTTGATGAAGCTTCTAGAGAATTACTGACGATAAATACGCACCGAGGTTTGTATCAGTATCATCGACTTCCATTCGGAGTTAAGTCCGCGCCAGCAATTTTTCAGCAAATCATGGATACTATGCTAACAGATGTAGATGGTGCTGCCGCATATTTGGACGATATCATTGTCGTCGGAACTAACCCAGATGACCTTTTCAGAAAGCTGCACTTAGTACTTGATCGCATACAAGAGTACGGATTTAGACTTCGCCCAGAAAAGTGCACGTTTTTCATGGACTCCATTAATTTTCTTGGCTTCATAATTGACAAGAACGGTAGACGTCCAGATCCGTCAAACATTGATGCTATAAAAAAGATGCCACCTCCCAAAGATGTGCCTACTCTGAGGTCCTTCTTAGGACTCGTCAGTCATTACAGTCAATTTCTGCCACATATGCACAGCGTGCGTGGACCACTCAATGAGTTACTCACCAAGGACAAACGTTGGCACTGGTCCGAAGATTGTCAGAATTCCTTTGAGGAGGTGAAGCGAATGCTGTGTTCTGACCTTTTGCTGACACATTACGACCCAACACTTGAAATCGTGGTGGCGGCAGACGCTTCGAAGTATGGCGTGGGTGCAGTTATCTCTCATAAGTTTGCTGACGGATCGGAAAAAGCGATCGCACACGCAGCTCGATCACTGTCGCCAGCCGAAAAGAATTACGGGCAGATAGAGAAAGAGGCATTAGCGATAGTCTTTGCAATAAAGAAATTTCACAAAATGTTGTATGGCAGGAGGTTTACCCTGCTTACCGACCATAAACCACTCCTAGCCATATTTGGATCAAAGTCCGGTATACCCGTTTATACCGCGAACAGACTGCAGCGTTGGGCCACGGCCTTACTCGCCTATGATTTTGCGGTGAAGTACACAGCTACAAAGGACATAGGTCAAGCAGACGCACTTTCCCGGTTATTGGAGCTACAACAGCATCAGCAGGAAGAATCTATAATTGCAGCAATCTCCCTTGAATCAGAGGTCAACCAGGTCTTGATGGAGAATTTTAGGAAGCTTCCCGTGACGTTTGACATGGTACGTGACGCAACTGTGCGAGATCCCCTCTTGCGCCAGGTAATCAAATTTCACACTACGCAGTGGCCAAGTGATACTCTATCCGGAGAGCTACAAATTCTCTCTCGGAGAAAGGACGAACTTTCGATCGTAAATGGGTGTTTACTTTTGGCCGAGAGAATTGTCATACCCAAAGAACTTCGCCAAAGAGTCCTTCAGCAATTTCATCGGGCACATCCTGGAATTAACAGAATGAAAAGCATTGCTCGGAGTTTTGTCTACTGGCCAAACATTGATTCGGAACTCGAGCAACTAGTAAAGTCATGTCCCAGATGCGCGCTTGCTAGTAAGGCACCGAGAAAAGCTGACTTAGCTTCCTGGCCGTTGGCAACAAAACCGTGGGAACGCGTGCACGCTGATTTCTTTGGTCCCCTAAACGGTCAGCAGTACCTAATAGTTGTTGATTCCTATAGTAAATGGCCTGAGGTCTTTTGTATGGAGCGTGCGACAAGCGGTGCAACAATTAACATTTTGAGGAGACTTTTCAGTCAACACGGAATACCAGAAACCTTGGTCACTGACAATGGTTCTCAGTTCACTTCTTCCCAATTTGCCGAATACTGCGCACAGCATGGTATCACGCATCTACGGTCGCCACCGTTTCACCCTCAGTCAAATGGACAAGCAGAGCGCTTCGTCGACACGTTTAAGCGATCGCTACTAAAGATGCGGGGGGAAGGAACCACACAGGAGATACTTGATACATTTTTGCTCGTGTACAGATCAACTTCAAATCCCCAAGTACCAAACCAGTTGTCGCCGGCAGAAGCACTAATGGGAAGAAAACTCCGTACTGTGAATTCCCTGCTAACTCCGAGGTGTACTAATGAGCAAGAAAGGAACGTTCGGATGGAGCAGTACTACAACGAGCGACACAGAACTCAAGCACGCCGCTTTTACCCCGGACAGCGTGTCTTAGTAAGAGACTATCGCGCGGGAAACCCGCAATGGGTGGTAGGATCGATACGGAGAAATATTGGACAGGTGCTATATGAGGTTAATGTGGGTAATTTGATTTGGACCAGGCATTCCAATCAGCTGCGACCAACTAGCATCTCTGCGGGCACAAGCGCTCGGTTACTACCGTTAGATATTCTACTAGAGAGTTTCGACATGCCATCTAATCCCCAAAGCAATTCGGATGCATCCCGCACAGAAGTCTCAGAGAAACCGAAGGTCCAGACCCGGCGCTGTACTGATCGACTACGGAGACCTGTCGTAAGAATGCAGTTGGATCCAAAAATGAAGTCTTATGTCAACTTTTGCGGGGGAAGGTGTTAATGGGACGGAACCAGCCAATGAGAGCGTTTTACGCTGAGGGCTATTGATTTGGCCATAAATTGAATGTACCGTTAGTTGGACGTTTAGAAAATATACTTGCCAGCCGTACGCCGGTCTCTTGCTTTGGGAAGTCGGGCTGATCAGAGTGCACGCTAGCAGCAGGTCATTGGTAGGTCAGCCGAAACCATAACACGATCAAACGTATTAGGCCTTGCTGAGACATGGTTAATCTCCGAGGTAACCACCCAAGAATTGGAAACCATCGGCTACTCATGCTTCCGCTGTGATAGACCAACAAATAATTGCGGTGGCGTTCCACTCTACATAAAGTCTCCTTTCTGTGGGGGACTAGTGAGCGCCCACCGAGGCACTGATGGTCTAGGTCAGTAGTTATGGTGTTCGACCAAACTCAGACGCTGCGAGATGCTCGTAGGCGGGGCATATCGCCGTCCACTAAGCCGCTGTTTGGACTGGTTGCCGCATGTCCGCAACCACACGGGTCGTCATCTGTATCTACTCATGGGCGGTTTCAACTTACTCCGAATACATTGACTTGAGGCTGTTATGGGGACCCAACGTCCCTATAAGTGTTAAAGGCTTAAATTACGGAAGGCTGAAAACCCGATTCACTCAAGTGCACATGTAATCAGAGCAGACAAAACGCACACGTTCAATCAGCCTTCCAACTCGTGTAACATGCACATTGGTTAGCCTTTGCACCCAGAAACAGTCTTGTTTCCAACCAAATACGCATTGTTTTATCCAAGCAACATTCGTTTTTCCGGACAACTCTCGCCGAACTTCCAACATTTCTGCTCAGTTTACCGACTTTGCACATTTACATAAAAACATGTTTCTTGTTTCCAGGGTGTGCCTACGCAAACCCTTCCAAGGAAAAACCCCCCTTCATCACCGTTTCGTGGTATAAAAATGAGGCTGTAGAACGCTAGAATCGCCTTAGCTTTGGCCAGTAGAAGCGCCTGTGGCGAAGGCCTGTCTTGTTCTTGATTCAGTCTTGGGTTGGGAAATCATGAGTAGAAACTTTGCGTTCGGTCTAGGAACCTGTTCGACTCGCGTGATTTAATCTTTCGCGGCTAAGTTCCGAGAACCCACAGACTTCGAGATTGTCAGTTACCGTGCCGTGCGAGAAATAATTCTGAGTCTCGTTCGTTCATCCGTCTAGGAGAGTTGGTATCACATTGTTAGAACCTGATGTATTCAAGAGGCAGTATTCAACAGTGGCGACGAAGTATTTGAACTCATGGCAGTTGCATACAATGAGTTTAAATTACTTTTGGAGCACCAGATTGCCTTAATGACTGCCTTGACGTGAAAACTCTCCAGTTCTTCCCTTCAATCAGGTTCCACGGGCAGCACTCCTTTGGTCGACGATATCTGCAGCAGCATCTCCGAATTCCTGTATGACCCTGGCGCTCAAATTACCTTCGAGTCCTGGTATAAGCGGTACGAGGATCTGTTCAC